ATTCTAGTCAGCCAGAGGGGCTTACGTGATTTCTGCTTTTTGGAATTTGATGAGATATTCTTCATGATCTAATTTATGGTCTATTTTGTAACTGCTCTATATTTGCTTAAAATATTGTGTATCTTTTGCTTATTAGATACAAATTTCTGCACAAACCATATTTGGTTTTTTCATTACTATCCATTATACCCCTATTTTCTGTCTTTTTGAACTGGCAATTTCTGGAGGATATATGAAAAAAAATTTTTTTCTGAGATATGAATCTGCTAATTTTTCTTTCTATTAGTTGTTTTCCTCATTAAATATTTCCATCTTATCTTAAGTGCATAATAGTGTGTGAATATTTTGTCTTTTTGATTGGTATCTTTTACCAATGTGATATAATCCTCTGAGCTCCAGTTTTTTTTTCTCTTACATTGTATTTTGTCTGATACTTACATTTCTAAAGTGACTTTTCTTGGGAAAAGACTTAGCTTGGAATATCTTCAGTGGGTTCTGGGTCCTTTCAAATACTTGAGCTTGCAATGCTCCTACCTTGTACAGCAATTCTTTGCTGTGGGCTTCTTCATCAACCTGCCAATCCTATTTGCCTTCTGCTTTTTGGAGATTCTTAATTATCTCTGAACAATATGATGTCACAACAGGGTTTTTTTTTTTTTTTTTTAAACGCCATTATAAATTAAAGTGCTTGTGTCTTTTTTCTGTCATTTAAGGCAGGAAGGGAGAGATGACAATACATGGCCAGGTTGCCATTTCAATCCAAGCCTCTGCTTTCCTTAACACCAAATTTCCTTCCCCACCTCCCTTCCAACGCACTCCTTTCTTTTGCTGTCATCTGGGTTGATCTGATTATGGTTGATCTGGAAGTGGGAGACATGGAGTAGCACAGAGTTTGCTAATGTTTAGTTCTCATTCATCTACTGAAACACTACTTTGGTCTCCATCTCTTGATGGCCTAAGAGCTGGCGTCAGGCCGGACAGAACGTGTGTTCTACAAACATGTGTTATTCAGCGAGATCTTTCACAGCTGTGTGTTATCATCTCTCTCATCTCATTCTCAGAAAAGTCTGCGTAATTTATAAACAATCCATTTTAGACAGCACTACCAGTGACATCATGACATTGCTATTCTTCTGGGTGACTTGTTGTCATATGAATAGCCTAGAGTCTTCCAAGGGAATAAGGCCACTAATCAGACTTTTCGCAAAGCCTGGCACAAATCAATTGCGATGAAAATCTTGGCATTTGCAGGCACTGAAAGGAGCATTTGGAACATCCTATTTTTAAAGTCTGGGGAAAAAACTCTACAAATATTCCTTAAAAACTTGTACATTATTTGCTTTCTTAATTAAAACATTCCCACTTTATTTTCCATGTTGTATCTTTACACTGCAAATATAGAATGTATTTTCATTTGTAGGTCATCAGATTTCAACCACAAGACCTTAGGCTTCCAAGGGCTTTTGAGGAAACTCACTGAGTTTCAAACATCATCTCATGATGTTTGAGACACTTAATGACTTGCCCAGCTCCTGCATTGACCTCTGGCAGAACCAGCAACAGAATGTAGTTTGCTTGACTCCAGTTAACTATTTACACATAAATTCACATTTGCAAAAATATTTTTAAGATCCTATCTCATCTGTGAACTACTAAAAAACTCCAGGAATGAAACATCATGGTTAACGTGTATTTTCTCAGTTTTGCAAAGAGTGACAATTGACCAGGTAGGATGAATTAATAATTTCCCTAAAATAATCCACAGCAGGAGATGTTGGGAAAGCAATCTGGGGTTTGTCTTTCCTGGCTTGTATACCTCACAGCCTCTCATCTTCTCCTCACACAATTCCACTTTTTTAAGAAAGTGTTTTATTATTCCATCCCTATAGAAACACAGAAGATAGATTTGCTTTTGAATTGTTAAAATGTGTCTTCTTGATTGGTGGTGTCCTTAAGAAAAAAGTAGCCAAGTCCGAGAACCAGGTAATCATTATAAATTGGAGAATGATTCACCTGTTATATGAGGTAAAACAGAAAGAAGAAGCACAATATTGCCTTAAATTCCTTCTCTTTGTTTATTGTTTCCTCTTGTGTGGACTTCCATTCATTCATTAACATATCCCCAGCTCCTATCAAGTGGAGTGTACGATAGGCTGTCAAATACACACTCAGCAATAGTCATTTGTGCTTTGTATAGGATGTGTGGGGCCCTCTCTCTGCCTCTGTCATAGAAAGTGCTTTCGTCTTTAAGGAGTTGGCAAACGTCTACATTCTAATAATCTAAGTCTATAAAGTATGGCCAGTGACCCAGCCAGAAGCTCTTTGGCTTTGCTTTTTTTTTTTTTTTTTTTTTTTTTTTTTGCAGCAACTTTCCCTACAGCAGCATGGCTGACAGGAAGTGACAGAGACTGTATTGACTAAAAGGCCTAAAATAACTCCTACGCCAACCCTGAGGTAGAATCTGTTATTGTCTTTGATGACCAACCTGGAGGTGAACCAGGGTCTGGCTAAACAACAAGTGCGCCATGACAAAGGTTCATGGATGAGCAAAGTGCTAACATGAAGATGGAAGTCTAGTATAGTGATGCTCAGGTTTAGCTACTATGTGAATCAGCAAATATAAGTAACAATGATATATGTCTGCATGGCACTTTTTAAAGATTTATTTATCTGAGAGACAGAGAGGGAAATATAAAGAAATTACATCTGTTGTTTCAAACTCTCCAAAAGACCCTAACAGCCAGGGCTTGGTCAGACCAAAGCCAGCAGCCCAGGACTCCCTCCAGGTCTATATGTGGGTGGCAGGAGTCCACGCACTTGGGTCATCTCGCACTGGTTTCCCCGGCACATTAGCAGGGAGTAGGAGCAGAAGCACAGCAGCCAAGACTCCAACCAGTGCTCTGACTGGGGTGCTGGCATTGTAAGTGTCAGCCTACCCCACTGAGTCACAATATTTGTCCCTGCATGGTACTTTGATTATGAAAGCATTCATAAATATTATATCACTTTATCTTTCCAATATCCCCAGAGAGTAGACAAGCAAGTACCACTTTTCCATGAAGAAACAGATTCAAAGACATTTTGCACAGTATCCCAGGGCTAAAATGGCCTCAGCTGGGATAGGTGTTCGGCACGAGTTTTAGATATTGCTTGGGATGGCCACATCCTAAATCAGTGCCTGATTCAAGTCTCTGCTCTGCTTTTCCCAATCCAGCTGCATGCTAATGTGCACCCTGATGGTGGTTAAAGTACTTGGTTTAAGTATGTGGATTAAGTACTTGGATCCTTGGCATCCATGTGGGAGCCTTAGACTGAGTTTCTGGCTCCTGGTTTTGTCCTGGCCCAGTCCTGGATATTGTGGGTATTTAAGGAGTGAACCAGTAGCTGGAGGAACTCTCTGTCTCTCAAATAAAATGTAAATAATAATTGGAAAAGGGACTTGATTCAATGTTTTCAATCCTTTCTTTTATCAGTAAAATAGTTTCTTTATCTCTGGAAAATACTTACCTTTAAAAAAAAAAAACAAGGGAGAAGTGGTCATTAACATTTGCCATCTTGGGATGCACTGACTTGAAATAATCTATTGGAAGATCAGTTGCAACAGCATATACTTTGTAGTAACATGCTCTCTCTTCTAAATGTTGCATTTTTCTGGCAAGATGATGTTAATAAAAATAATACAAGATTTTTATCTAATGGCTTAAACATCAAAATAAATATGAAGCTAATTAAGTTTTAAGTTTAAAAAACACCTTGATTTTTTGAAATCTTATAACCTGCAAGATGAATTTATTATCTGATTTTCTTGGGTTAATAATATTAAAAAACAACTTTGCAGGAGCAGAAGAAAGTCTTGGTAAAAATATGAATATATAGAACTTGGGAAGAATGGTGAAAAGTTGATAGAGTCCTCTGTAAATGTGTGCAATCATGTTGGACTGAATGTTCCAGTGGCAGCTACAAACCCGTAGATAATCAGTATGATCTGTTTCTTGCATTATCCAAGAACTGATCTTCTGTGTGATCAACTAATTCAGGAGGAATTTCCGGTTGGTCATCACTTAGCTAAGACAGTGTTAGAATAAAAGTACTACATACTGTGTGCTTCCAAAATTCCATCAAAGGGCAATCTATGGAGACAGCAATGAAAAGGTCATTGTTGCAGGATTTGGCATGAGGAGTGATGATTAAGTAGAGGGCAGAGGACTTTTTTTTTTTTGACAGGCAGAGTGGACAGTGAGAGAGAGAGACAGAGAGAAAGGTCTTCCTTTGCCGTTGGTTTACCCTCCAATGGCCACCGCGGCCGGCGTGCTGCGACCAACGCACCGCGCTGATCCATTGGCAGGAGCCAGGTACTTATCCTGGTCTCCCATGGGGTGCAGGGCCCAAGCACCTGGGCCATCCTCCACTGCACTCCTGGGCCACAGCAGAGAGCTGGCCTGGAAGAGGGGCAACCGGGACAGAATCCAGCGCCCTGACCGGGACTAGAACCCCGTGTGCCGGCGCCGCTAGGTGGAGGATTAGCCTAGTGAGCCGTGGCACCGGCCAGGCAGAGGACTTTTAGGGCAGTGGAAAGGCTCTGTGTGATACCATAGTTGTAGGTCCATGTCATTATCCATGTGTCCAAACCCACAGAACCTACAGCACCAAGAGCTAACCTGGACGTACACTGTGAGCTTTGGGTGATAACGACGGATCAATGCAAGCTCACCATTTGTAACAAACGTGTCATGTAGTGGGGATATGGATAACAGAACATGTGTGTAGGGGAAAGGGATTCATGTTCATATCTTCTGCTCAATATGGCAGTGAATGTCAAACGAAGGTACAAAGTGTATTTTTAAAAAATGAGTTCAGCGGGCCATCCTGCATTCATAACTCTTTAACCCCTAGAGAAGCATTGGCACAAGTCTGTTTTTGGCACACTGTGTCATAAATACAAGAAAAACAAAGGCCTAGAATCCTCTAGAAGAATGAACCCAGAGCAAAAATGAACTTACTTCGCACCCTGATTGAGTTTCCCATGAGCACGACTCCTTCTCCGGAGGGAGAAGCCCTCTCTGGAAAGCATGGTCGCCCAGGCATGTTTGACACAAGGCAGGCTCGAAGTCCGGCTCCCCTGGAGGCAGGTGCACCCCCGCGGGGCCTGTGTACTTCAGGCTGGGGCTCGGATGCTTGTCCACACTGACCATGGGGCTCTTAATCCATCTTCGTACCTACAGAGTGCAAAAGAAAGGACAGAATGAGTGCGTTTGACTTCTAATGTAAATTTGGGGGGTGGATACTCATGAAAGGAGAACTCTGTCTCACGGCCTCTCTATTTTCCCAGCCTTCACATGACTGGGTTTGGTCAGTGCTTTTTAGACACTCCCCAGGGGTGCGCGATATCTGGCTGCTCAATTACCTTGCTGAGTCTGTCACCTCATTTGCAAGATTGTAGGAAGAGAAAATTGTGCAGTGTTTTTAAATGCCCAAGTACTTTGCCCGGCTCTTGGTTGCTGTTCAGGAGGTGGGGACTATTTTGCTTTGACTCTTAACATTATGATTGTGTGGATGGACTGATACTTCACACATTTCTAAAATGGATTGCTAGTTACTCTTACTGGGGCACTACTAACCCCATTCAGCTCAGAATCTAATTGTTGCTAAGTAAATTGATGTTTTTCACTATTGCAAAAACTTAGTTACAAAAGTTTTTTCTGGCTAAAAAATTATCTTGTTTGTGTTTAATGTCCTAAAATTCTCCACTTGTCTTGATTGTATATAGAATTCTTGTAAGCTACAGAAAAGTATAACCCACTCTAACAGTGAAGGAGATGATATTTACATAACACTTCAAAAACGAAAAGTGCTATTTTGAGTGTTTGATATGTATCATCTTGCTTAATTCTCAGAACAGTCTGAAAAAAATAGATACTATTATTAAACCCATTTTACAGATGGAAAAACAGAGGCACAGAGAGACAAAGTTGATTTTCCCAGGACACAGCTGCTGCTATGGAATAGAGGAAGGACTCAGGCGCCATGAATCCAGAATTTTTATAAGCATGTAATTTTTGACAAGCTCTTGGGTGATCAAATGCTTAAAATTTATTTTGATTTAATGTGTCACTTCCTTGCTCTTTAAAACTCCTGAGGATTCTTTTATAGCTAACTAATTAGCATATAGCAAAAGGATGAAAAAATAAAATCACAACACTGAACTTTAGTTAGTAATGCTACAATTACATTTTTAAAAATACACTGTGAATACACTCGAATTACAATAGCAAAAGGATGTTTAAGCAATTTAATATATATTACTTGATGGAATATTTTTCCACCCCTAAAAATAAGGATTATGAAGATCCTATGACAATATGGAAAATGTTGAGAATATAATTATATGAGAAGAGCCAAATATAGAATTGTTCAATCACTATAATTACAAATGCAAATACACACACACACACACACACTATCTATAGACAAAGTAAGAAAGGAAGAGGCAAAATAGAAACTGTTATGTTCATTGTTAGGATCAGGGGTGTTTTATTTTTCCTCTTTTGGCAAAATCCTGTCTTTATAAAATCATTCCTTTTTAAAGTTTGCAAGAATCTTAAGTAATTAAAGTCACCATACTTTTCTTTTTGGTTACATGTATTTTTTAAGTGCTTCATCTTTATGTAACCTTTTTTTTTTAAGATTTATTTATTTTATTTGCAAGTCAGAGTTACACAGAGAGAGAAGAAGAGGCAGAGAGAGAGAGAGAGAGAGAGAGAGAGAGAGAGAGAGAGGTTTTCCAACCGCTATTCACTCCCCAATTGGCTGCAACGGTGGGAGCTGCGCTGATCCGAAGCCAGGAGCCAGGAGCTTCCTCACGGTCTCCCACGCGGGTGCAGTGGCTCAAGGACTTAGGCCATCTTCTACTGCTTTCCAAGACCACAGCAGAGAGCTGGATCAGAAGTGGAGCAGCCGGGACTAGAACTGTCGCCCACATGGATGCCAGCACTGCAGGCAACAGCCTTACCCACTACACCATAGCGCCAGCCCCTATGTATATTTTTAATAACCATTTAAAATAATTTTTTCAGGGTGGGCGTTCAGCCTACCAGTTAAGAAACAGTGGCGATTTCCACGACCTACATCAGAGTACCTAGATTAGATTCCCAGCTACAGCTCCTGACTTCAGCTTCCTGTCACTGCAGACCCTGGAGGCAGCACTGGTGGCTGAAGTAATTGGGTTCCTACCATACTCATGGGAGATCTGGAATAGGTTCCAGCTTCGGGCTTAGGCCTGGTGCAGTTAGCCATTGCAGGCACCTGGAGGAGTGTCTGTCTGTCTGTCTACTTCTCTCTCTCTCTCCCTCTGCCTCTCAAATAATTTAATAGTTAAAAATAAATAAGTAGAGACTAATGCTGTGGCATAGCAGATAAAGCCACTGCTATGGATCCCATATGGGCCAGTTCGAGTACCGGATGCTCCACTACTGATCCATCTCTCTGCTGTGGCCTGGGAAAGCAGTAGAAGATGGCCTAAGTCCTTGGGCCCCTGCACCCATGTGGGGGACCTTGAAGGAGCTCCTGGGTCCTGGCTTGGGGAGTGAGCCAGGAGATGGAAGACCTCTGTCTCTATCTCTCTTTTTCTCTCTCTTTCTCTCTCCCTCTGCCTCTCTGTGACTCTACTTTCAAAAAAAGTAAAAAACAAAAACAAATTTAAAAAAAGTAAAATCACTTTTTGAGTTAAAATTTGGAATTTTCATCAATATTTCTTGCACAATAAGGCCAAATAAGCATATTAGTAGACATTTTCAAAAGTGCTTATTTGATTTGTTAATGAAAGACTAAATGAAACTCTAAAATCCGAGACTACAATGTAATCTCTCTTTTTCGTGTTAGTACCAAATGTGTTTTTAATCAACTTAGAAAGTATTCAGTTTCATTCTAAATGGAAAATATTTTTTTTGTTAAATTTACTCAGTGGGTTTTAAGCTTGAAGTTTAGTAATTGTTCCTGCTTTGTTTCCAGCCTTGTATTTTAAAATCAATCTTTTTATTCTGGCTTACTTTCAGTGTCTCCTTTGCCAAGTCAATTTAACTTCAGGGTTAGTATGAACAGGATTTAAATAGATTTATCTTCAAATCCATTTAAAATTTGCATGGATTGACTGATTAAAAATGTTGGTATATTGAAATATAAAATTTCACCAACAAAGTCCCTTAAGAAACTTGTCTTAAAAGTTGGAGTTATGGTAAGGAAATACACTTGTTTATCAAGGGTTGAGATATTTATTTAATAAAATAATTCAGTGAAGTATAGCATTTAAAGAAGGAAATAAAGCACAGACAAGCTGTCAGGATCATAGAAGGAATTTACCCAAAGGAAATGAAATTGGCAAACAAAAAAGCTGTCTGCACATTAATGTTTATTGCAGCTCAATTCACAATAGCTAAGACTTGGAATCAACCCAAATGCCCATCAACAGTAGACTGGATAAAGAAATTATGGGGCATGTACTCTATAGAATACTATACAGCAGTCAAAAACAACGAAATGTTGCAGTCATTTGCAACAAGATGGAGGAATCTAGAAAACATTATGCTGAGTGAATTAAGCCAGTCCCAAAGGGACAAATATCATATGTTCTCCCTGATCGGTGACAACTAACTGAGCACCAAAGGGGAAACCTGTTGAAGTGAAATGGACACTATGAGAAACAGTGACTTGATCAGCTCTTGTCCTGACTGTTGATGTACAATGTAATACTTTATCCATTTTAGTATTTTCTCTTTGTTTTGTTCTAGTACTATTGGTTGAACTCTGTGATTAACACACAATTACTCTTGGGTGTTTAAATTTTAACTAAAAAGTGATCCCTGTTAAATATAAGAGTGGGAATAAGAGAGGGAGGAGATGTACAATTTGGGACATGCTCAATCAGACTTGCCCCAAATGGTGGAGTTAGAATCATGCCAGGGGATCCCAATACAATCCCATCAAGGTGGCATGTACCAATGCCATCTCACTAGTCCAAGTGATCACTTTCAGTTCACAATTGATCACACTGATAGGTCTAAGAGTCAAAGGGATCACACAAACAAGTCTAGTGTCTGCTAATACTAGCTGATAGAATCAAAAAGGGAGAGAACAATCCATCATGGGAAGCGGGATACACAGTAGACTCATAGAATGGCAGATGTCCTAAATAGCCCTCTGGCCTCAGAATCAGCCCTTAAGGCATTCAGATATGGCTGAAGAGCCCATGAGAGTATTTTAGGCATGGAAAGCCAAGACACCCTGGAAAAAAAAAAGAAGACCTAAATGGAAGATCTCTGCCAGTGAGATCCCAGTGGAAAGAACAGGGCCATCAAAGAAGGAGGTACCTTTCTCTGAAGGGAGGAGAGAACTTCCACTTTGACTATGACCCTGTCGGATTAGGATCGAAGTCGGTGAACTGAAAAGGCTTCCATAGCCTTGGCAACTCATGACTAGAGCCTAGGGAGATTACTGACGCCATAAACAAGAGTGTCAAATTGTTAAGGCAACAACAGGAGTCACTGTGTACTTACTTCTCATGTGGGATCTGTCCTTAGGGTGTTGTCCAATGTGAAGTAATGCTATAACTAGTACTGAAACAGTATTTTACACTTTGTGTTTCTGTGTGGGTGCAAACTGATGAAATCTTTACTTAATATATACTGAATTGCTCTTCTGTATATAAAGAGAATTGAAAATGAATCTTATTGTGAATGGAATGGGAGAGGGAGCGGGAGATGGGAGGGGTGTGAGTGGGAGGGAAATTATGGGGGGGGAAGCCATTGTAATCCATTAATTGTACTTTGAAAATTTATATTTACTAAATAAAAAAAGACAAAAAAAGAAGTTAGGAGGGTTCAGTTTTAAACAATACATGTAAGTGTATTAGGCTACTTCCCATTACCATAATGAAATACATGAGGCTAAGTAACACTGTGAAGAAAAGAGGTTTAATAGCTCAGAGTTCTGAAGGGTCAAGGGCATGGCACTGGCATTAGCTTGGCTTTAGTGAGGGCCTCTGGCAAGCGAAGTCACAATGGTGAGAGCAGGAGCCAGAGGGAGAGATCACCCTGGCCAGAGGGAAAGTTGAAGTGAGGGAGGGACTAGTGATGCCTGTCTGCTAAGCTCCACCTGCTAAGATTCCACCACTCTCACCATAACCACACTGAGGACCCAACTTTATTTTTTTAATATTTATTTA